GTACTAACACCGGCTCGACCCTTCCAGTACCAGACAGCTGTCCCGACTGCGGAGTTTTTCCGCATGACTGTCAGCATCTTTTAGCCTGCAGTTTCCGGCGAGGCACCCATTTCACCCCCTGCGGACCTTTGCGCCAAGCCGTTCGAGGTCTCTGCTGTTCTCCCTCTTCCATCTACAACGAGTTTGGATTCGGCGAGGACTTTAATGCACCTACCATTGACTGGAAGTTCGCCTCCATCTACTGTCTTGAAACAGTATTCAACCAGCAGATTCTGCATCTCCGATAAGCGTTGTGATGGCTGGCAGATGAACTGTTTTAACCTTGTGTTTACTTCGTCGCCTGACAACATCGACGTTGTAAATTGCTGACCTCCACCAAGTCATAGTTACCATTTACTTCTCAGATAGGAATACACCTCATTCTTCTTGCCCATACAACCACAAGATCTCCGACAAAATACTTGGCGTGGCGATCTCGGACGGATAAAAAAAGATCTATTTTCTATTTCCTGGGCATGAACACCTCCCGATGATATCGAAGAGACCTGAGGATGACGGAAAGAGATAGTATAGAGCCTCATCTCCGAACACTGCCTAATCATGCGTAAAGGACTAACCAACATACCTCGCTGGTTGACTCGATGACTAAAAGCAAACATAACAAGAAGATAGGACGCCTATCTCCCTAAAGGGTCACAAGTTGAGCAAAAACTAGACCAAAAGCCGCATCACCAGAAGTTGATAAATCTTCAAAAGTGATATGTTGGACCATGCCATGGGTAATTCCGATGACTGTTTCAGGTACATAAGGCAGAGCAAGCCGAAGAAGGATGCTATCTGCCTATTGTGAGTTGTCAAGTGTGCGGAAATTTCAGAGAAAAAGGTTTAACATCATTATCAGATCTTCAGGTCCGTCCTGATGACAGAATCAGGATGAAAACAAAATGCCGTATGCCACCTACGTGGAATTCAAAAAGGCCTTCGACAGCATCCCTCACCAGCGCCTCCTGCATAAACTGCGCAGCGCAGTAGTTTGTGGGAACATCGTTCTGTGGAACCGGTCAGACAGGCACCAACAGTCCTGAGAGGTTACCATAGTGAATGGCGCCCCACAAAGTTCCGTTTTAGGTCTCACGTTATCCGTTTTTTGCACGAATGACTGCATCAAGGACCTAGAGTGTGATGGCATCCTATTAGCTGATGATATAATTGTGGAAAATTGTCTACAACACGGCAGACGTACGCCATCTGCAAAAAACATGAACGGGTCCAAGGATTGGTTAAAGTACTGACCTATGCCCTTCAGTATTAGTAAATTCAACCGTTTTTGAATTGACAGTTGTGGAGGCTTCAGCCCGAGGGGTTGCCTACTAGACGGTACACAAGTGCAACGGGTTGATGTTCAGAAGGAGGTGGGTGTGTGGAGTACTTCTATAGTCAAACCAACTCTGAACTGCACGAAGGCAGCCAAGTCGGACATTTTTATAGTTCAGCTCATCAGGCGAGCCTTTATAGAGTTTTACAAAGATAGCTTCCACAGAATATTTGCAAGCTACACGCTGCCGCACCTAGAATTCGCTTTACAGGAATAAAGACATTTAACTGTCAAAAACTGTTCTCTCTTAGTAAAGGTTCACAGGTGGGCATTAAAGTTTTGGGAACACTACCCTATGAAAACAAACTTTTACCAAGGAAACATTGCCAACAAAGACAAGCTGAAATGGACATTTCTGGCTCGTAAGCCATCATCATCCATTCATACCCAACCCCACATGTTGCACCACCCGGGGCTCGAACACGCAAGTTTATTATTTGAGGTATAACGCCCTTATCATTGGGGCACGGGCTCATTGTTTTGCTGGTTTATTTTGGAAGATATTGTCACTCGTTGATGAATGTTCATCTTTCGCTAACGGAAATCACTCGTCACGCTCTGCCTTCTGATCAAAATATCGCGGCTTCGAACCTCATGTGGTGTACCACCTGGGGCTGGGTACGGTTGGCTTATGACGCCTCATTAACCAAAAATTGTCAGTTCAGTCTCCCTTGTCTTTGTCGATCATGCTGCTGGCGGGCCTCGAGAACGCCCTTTCCGATGATGGTGCTCGATCCACCTGTGTGAAGTCATTTTAGAGCAAACTGGCTATGAATCAAGTTACTGGCGTCCTACCTACCCACTTACCTGCAAAAAATCATTATGCTGCTCCCGAGTTTTCCTCTGAAAATATTTAAAACACCTTTTTGTGAATTTTCCTTACGTATCGACGCTATTTCTTATCCACTTCGTGGCCAACAGGCAGTTCAAAGACGTTCGCATATATTACTCTTAATAAAACTGAAATGAAATGAGGGGTTAGGTGCAGTTTATCGCATTCTGTGCCTAATCTGCCTTTGTATTTATGCAGATAAAACTGTATGCGAGTTCAGATAACGCATAAACAAACCTCAGCTGGCGGTGTGATGGCATGACAAAGTAACACAAGTTGTGCCCTTGATCTTTGAATGGACTCACAAGTCTGGTTTAGCAGCCGCCAAGAGGATCGCTATTCTCTTTAAATTGTAGCAGTTTTCGATTAATTTTTATAACCTTTAGATTGCTCTATGATTGCAAGCGCACCAAAGAGTGGTCAAAACGTTGTTAATATCCTGCCTGTCCAGTTCCTAAATTAGGCAATAGTGGAAAGTATATTATACAAAACATTATCCTGCCACATGCTTCAAAGTTGACACAGGTCGTACCTCCGATAACTGTCACTGTGCGAATCCTGTTTTACCTCTGCATGAATTCGAAGATATACAAAAGTAAACAAAATATGTGTCAGTGTTACTTTTATTTCTACCCTTCAGGCTGTCGTAAAAGGACGGGGCTTTAAACAGTACCTTTCCAGTAGGTGGAACCTCGGATTCTGGGCTTTTACTTGCCTCTTCATTCTCGGCAACCTCATCTCCGTGCCCCATCGTGGTGCTCCCATCTGGCTGCCGAGGTTTTTCCTGGCAATTTGTCTGATGTCCGGCTTCGTCTTACTTTTCCGTTACCTCGTGGTCATTCGCTCTATCGGTCCAAAATTGCTAATGATCAAAAAAATGGTGAGCTTTGCGAGGTTTGCGAAACACACTCACATCGCGAAAACTACATTAGTAGAGAGCTCGGCATTGCAACTACAAATCACCCTACTGGGGACGAGGCCCAGTCACAGGACTCCTGTAGTACGGGAATTATTGTAACTGATTGGTGGTGTAAACGGAAAGGAAGTCTTTTCCTGGGAGTCAGACTTACACGCTTATAATTTTCCCAATACAATAGCCTATGATCGTTAGCCTACAATTTGAAATACTGGTCACTTTAAGCTTCAAACTGGCGAAAAAGTTACAGACTCAAGATATTGGTTAAATATTCCAGGTTAACTGAAGCACTGCGTGTAATGAGCAGTAATACTAAAGGATGAAACATGAAAGGTTTATCGTTAAATGATATTCTCCTGATGGCCGTTACTGAGTTATAGTTGTAGTTAGCAACGTTGGCAGCCTAACCCCTAACTTAAAACCTGCCCTTACAGCTAAACCCAAACAATAAACCCCAAAAGTAGCAGTTGTGCCTAACCAAAAGACTTAAGCCTCATCAAATTTAACCCAAGCCATTACAATAGTCTTTAATAGTGACCCCAGTCACTTGTCTACCCTCTATCCCCTAAACATGACGAAATCCTAACGCTCTAATCCGAATCTTAGCCCTACGCTTCACGCTTGCCCTACTGGTAAAACTAGAGAGACACGTAATCGGGAAGTAATCCAAAAGTAAGGGGTTAACTTAAGTATAAGTATTTTAAAGAGGTAAATAGTACCTTGAGCTACATTTCCGACCATCGCCTCTTTTTCTCCATGGTTATTTGTCTTAACTGAAAAGGAAGTTGCTTATTTCGCTAAGGTGACTATTGTTTTTCCATTGTTAGGTACTCGGTGACCTCATTCCCTTCCTGGTTATAATCATAATCTTTTGGACTGCATTCACGATTTTTCTTGTCGTCACAGTCTATAAGCCACCTACGAACGAATCTTATGGATCTCAGATGAAAGACTTTTTAACTACATGGAGGAATATGTTCTTTGCAATGTTCGGTGAATTCAACATAGGCGATAACGTCGACGAACTGGGTACGTACGCAAATGGAAAAGTTGCACTAAAATTTGGATAAAATTTTAGCACTAATTCTCACTGTAATGGCCTGGTAAAGTGACATAGTGACTACAAAATCAGGCAGAGATTGTCGTCATGTCTATACCGTAACTATTATGTTCTAACTTGCAGGCATGTTGAAACCGGAATGTTCTGCTGCGGATGGTTGTACCTATCCTACCTACAAGGGATGGTATCCCTTTGTATACGCCGTTTATGTGGTCTGTACACATGTCATCCTCCTAAACCTGCTGATCGCTATGTTTACGTGAGTTGCCGTTGAAACTGACCAGTAGTATTTTACACCCTTGAGGCATCCTATCTTTTCTTGACTACACTTGACTTTCTAGTCTTAATATTAGAAGTGGAAAAGAAAGAAAATAAGAAAGAAGAAAATCCAACGATTCTTCTAAATTTGAGATTTCCAATTGATTTTAAACGTAGCTGCGCTTTTGCTCAAAGCATCTGTCTAGTTTAACTTTAGAAGAAATGGTCAATATGTCCTAGGGGCTAGGAATCCAAAACATTCGTCACTGAGCTGACAATCCGATGAGGGGAATAGCCATATTTTTATGGATAAAATAACTGCTGAAGAATTTCAAAGCTAATTGCTCAGCAGGTTTGTAATGCATTCGTATGGCCAGAAGAACAACTTCCTTCGAAAACTTTGTATATTTAAAAGTTATTATACTCTTTTTAACAGTTTATTTTAGTAAAACTGTTGCCAGCTGATGCCATTTTATGCTTTCTAGGCTAAATACTTGCTTCTTAATTTCCACCTTATTTTCATGTACACCAATTTTTAACCTTATTCTGAAATCTGGGGGGCGAGTGGAAAATGGTGCAGTAAAGTAAGATGACTACATGAATCCGATTAGAATCTACATTATTTTAATTATCGGTGATTAAGTCATTTTGTAAACACTGTTGCCTTTGGAAAGTACTTTCTGTTCGCGGTATACATAATTATATTTAAGGTCTGTACGCATAAACTAAAATATGATTGGGTCATAATCCGTCAACCCAACGGGCAGACATCAGCGGCATATATGTACATGGTAAATTACCATAATAACAGCATAAGTACTAGCTTAAAGACATAGACACGTGTTTCACTGGTATTCTGTCGCTGCTTGACACAGATGCGTGCAGTCCGGCTCGGCGGTGGGTCTCCCAGCTTTTCCGGTTTTCTTTCTGATTGATAAACTGGATTTGAAAGTTCAGTTAGTATGGTAAGTTACAAGGTCAATATATAACACTACGGTCTGCTTGTAGGCAATATGTGTATATCACACAGCGGTTGACGGATTTTGATCCAAATATACACTTCAAATTTCGGTCTTCGCCTATAGACCTTAACTGTACTGATGTATACCTCGAAGAGAAAGTACCTTTTATGGAAAGGAAAAAAACGGAACTTTTAAAATCGGTATATCGAAAAGAAATTGTTATAGCCCGGTTGGTTGTGTCCCGACTAATAGGCAGCAGACGCTAAGAGAGCGGTTCTGATAAGAAGCCTTTATTCTGATCAATACAGAGACAGCAGGATTCTTAGCTTTTCCAATACAGCA